TGTTTTAGTCTCCTGTGCAAAGATATTGACTTTTACTTCAAAGTCGTCTCCGCTATGCTTTTGTATCCTATGCGTGCCTAGTGGGGTGCTTCGTCTTAGTTTTCGTTTGCCATCTAGATGTTCTTTTATACGGATACACAAAGGTCTGCCCGTTTCGCCAATATATTCATCTCCGCAATTGTTACACGAGATCAGGTATATCGTACCTGAACTCAGGCAATCCCCGTCCCTGCCGTAAGGGCAAATTACGCAATTTGTTGTTTCACACAGACGGTCATACAGGCGGTTGCGAACTAATTGGCGACGTAGAGTAGTCGGTGGTATTTCAACTATCGCTACCGATTCCTCTAGATCTGCCCTTCTTAAGCATCGTTTTATAGCTGCGCTTACTTCATCGCTTATAAAAGGCAACATAAACGGGATTTTGTTTTGGCCAAGCGTTTCGCGTGGGCGCGTCGTTCTCCTTGTAAACTTATCTCGTGGGGTTACTATTTCGTAGCCATTGGAGGTGGCTATTTGCCGGGCCAAGTCGCGCGATTCTTCCTTTAGTTCCCTGGTAGTGCACACAGAGGTGGCTGTTCGAAACATGTTTCTCACAATCGCCCTCTTTGTGTGTGAAGGGTGGGAAGAAAGGAAATGAACAAGGATGTTCTTGTTACTTGGCTTTCGATACCACTTTGTCAGGTAACCGCTACTTGATAGGCTTATTTGGACGTCCAAAAATGGAAGCCAGTTTTCTCTCGGTTTCTCCCGGGTGAACTTTATGTACTCGGACTGCTCGTTTAATAATTCGAAGCATTTGTCCATCTCCTCCTGCGTAGAGAAGATGACAAAACAATCATCTACATATCTGCAGTAGAGTAGTGGCCGGAGATCGAGAACAGGGGCTTCTATCTTAGACATAAACACAATGGCCAGGCTTGGTGCCAATCGCTGTCCCATTGCCAACCCCCTTATTTGCGCGAAATATTTCCCAGACCATCTGAAGATCGAGCAGTTTAGGCACTCCTTTAAGAGAGCCATTAGCTGCTGGATGGACAAGCCATGCATATTTATTCTTCCTTCATGTTCAACAAGAAGTTCGAAGATGGCTTGCATTGCGGAGTCATTCGATACGTTGGTGTACAGTGCGGTAACGTCGAAAGACTCCATCACGTACGCGTTATTGGGAGACGCGTATCAAGCGTTACATTACCGATCGGTCACGACCAGACAAAAAGTGCTCAGAGTCCTAAATATCTAGCTTATTTCATTTTTTGTATTTTCGACACCTGTAACACTGCTATGAACACAAAGCAACAGCATGCTAAAGTGACATGAGCTAAATTTACTCCTAGATCGTATTAATTTATTACAGACCTCACTGCATTTTCTTCCTTTGCTGATTCCAACAGTCGTATTAAACAACCACAGTGATGTTGAAATATTTGCAAAACTCCTCACCGCAGGTGTCTGCGGTGGGAAACGAACGCGCTATTTTACTTTCCAGGGAGTAACGCGCTCTCCACCACACCATGAGAGTCTTCGCTTCATCTGTCTCCCAGCTAGTTCTATCAATAAGCGCCATCAATGATCACCCGTCAACTGGAATGAACTAAGGAGCCCAAATCGGCAATCATGTTAAATATGTCTTTTTACTCTTCAAAAAATGAGCGCTTTCCATTTCCATCGATGTGGTTCACTAATGTTTTAACTACACTTCAAACGTCTAAAGAATTCATATTCAGTACGTCAACCGTTTGGGATCGTTATCCTTTTAATAGTTATTGACCTATAAAATCTATATCAAGTGCAGCAGCACCAACTTTTACACGTGTATGAATGGCTACCAACTAGTTTGCACGAACACGTCCCGTACTAGTTAGAGGTAGGAATAAAGATAGTTCGATACTAAATCATAAGAACAATTGATAATCCTCTTCTATCAATGCGCAGTGGAAGTTGGTGATGAGAGATATTCAGCGACGTGAAAGGAATGGAGTTTGCAGAATCACAGCGCCAAAGGTGAAAATGTCGCCGAAATTAATTAAGCTCTTTTATTGCCAGTCCCGTTTAAGACGTTTGCACTGAATAACACGAGTCATTATCTCTGAGTGAAAGATTGATTTATTTCACTTGTTATCATGCTATCAATGGATATTTTTCTAGGAATTGTCAGGGAAGAGATGACCCAAATTGCGGAAAAGTGCAGGCGATGGCAAGAGTCCATTTAATTCGGCTAATAATGTGAATTTTTCAGGCAATTATGAAATGTCATATAAATAATTGAGCAATTAATCCACAAATACAAAAAATCGTCTTCATTAAAGTTGATGAAGAATGTTCTCAGTGCTGATCCAGCTCTTGGTTCTAGGAATGCCCAATACGTTAGAAAAATCGTCTATTGTAGTACGAATTATAATTTGTATCCATACCCAGAGGGCGCCTGTCGCGCAGGGGTGGGAGGCGCCTCCGCGACACCCACATGGAATCGATCTCAGCCCCATGGCTCACCAAGCCTTCCATCCCTCCGGCGTCAGTAAATTGGTACCGGACTAGTCTGGGAGGATAGCAGCACTGGCTCGATACATCAGTAGGCCACTACGAGTCATTGCAAAGGCCATATATGCATTCAATCGCCTCCAACGATACTTTATGAAGTCGAATGCATGGCGCATCCCTCAGAAATTGATCAACGCCGAAGTCTTGTCCTTTTATATAGGGAAGCAAAATAAAATTAAAAAACGAACATCAATTTTCGAGCAAAGTAGTAGTATGTGGTGGGTCGTGGCAACTTCAAGAAATAGGTGCCAATCCCGGCCAGCAGTAGCACCACTTCTGGAAACCCCGACTAACGAGTATCTCTGGTTGTCACTTGTACAGCCTTACTTGCTGCTTATGATTGTTCTTTTTTCAAAAACCATAAACAAGAAAGTATCTTCTCTTTTAACTAGGAAGAGTCTGTGACCACACAGTTTTGAGAATGACGATTACGAGGAAATCCCTATTGCTCCTCAAAGTCAAAAAATTCTGCAAAAACATAGCGGAATAGAAAAGTGTGACTTGCTAATGGTATCTACTCACACTTTCTTTGGAAGTCTCCGTGCATATAATCCAGGATGAAAAGATCAGTGTGATGGGCTGGACTAACTAAGAAAAATACAACCACAACGTTGCTGAGATATTTGCAAAACTCTGGACCGCAGGTGTCTATGGTGGGCAACAAACGCGCTATTGTCCTTTCCAGGGAGTAACGCGTTCACCACCACATCATGCGGGTCCTTCGTTTCGCCTGTCTCTCAGCTAGTTCTATCGATCTTTTTACCACAGCGATCACCCGTCAGCGGAGTTGATCTGGGGAGCCAAAATCGGCATAGAACCCAGTTGAGCCGCGGTTGTAGTTGAAATCATAATGTTATACCTTTTTATTTTCTGCCTACTATAATTTAGCGGCTGGGTACTAAGCGAAATACAACAACAACGTTGCTGAGATATTTGCAAAACTCTGGACCGCAGGTCATCGTGATTTCAACTACAGCCATAGCTTAACTGGGCTCTATGCCGATTTGCGCTCTCCAGATCAACCCCGCTGACAGGTGATTGCTGTGGCAAAAAGATCGATAGAAATAGCTGAGAGACAGGCGAAACGAAGAACCTGAATGGTGTGGTGGTGAACGCGTTACTCCCCGGAAAGGACAATAGGGCGTTCGTTCCCCACCATAGACACTTGCGGTCTAGAGTTTTGCAAATATCTCAGCAACGTTGTGGTTGTATTTCGCTTAGTAACCTGCCATGAAAATTATAGAAGGCAGAAAACAAAACGTTAAACATCCTAACTAAGAGAACTTCCACTAAACACTGTTAGAGCAACCAAAAGGATGCCGAGATTTGAGCAAACACAGCACCTCAGTTCTTCTTCGAACCCGCAGTTACCCGTTTCCCATTGGATAACGCGCTAGCCACCACATAATAATTGAAGCTTTTGCTCTTCATTTCTTTCAGAAAGTTTTTTTGCTCTATTGGTTCTTTCAACAGTTACCCGTCAAAGGGAAATGACTCAGTTCCGCAGGTCATTTCCGTTGACGGGTGATTGTTGAAAGCACCGAAATGGTAAAAATTGTCTGAGAGAAGAGCAAAAGAATCATTTCTGAGTCAGCATTTATTTTCAAAGACATCTCTGAACGTTTCAGATATGTATAAGAATGAGGTTTTAGGACACGATACAACTTCCAGTGGAATAGCTTTCACTGTCTGGTGGCTTGGACAGATGCCAGAATGCCAAAGGAAAGTCCACGAAGAACTGGACAGTGTTTTTGGTATGGGCATTTAATGAATCATCTCTTGTTTTTTCTAACTTTCAAATGTATTAATCTATAGTGATAAAAATTATTGATATGGTACTTCACGTAGCAATTCCCAAGACCGACTTTCTGTTAACGTCGGCATTGATTGATAACTCGATATTTTTATTCAGTAAGCAGACACGAGGTGGTTACTATAGAATTTATTAGGATACAGTAGCTGACGTTCCGGCGGTTTCGCCTTCTTCAGAGCCTGGTAAGGCCAAACTGAGGTGCGATCTACTCAGCCAAACACTTTCATAACCCCAGCAGATAAAACTTTACAAATAAGTTGCATAGGAATAAGAATAGCCTGCTGGTTTTGAAGCTGCTGCGCTTGCCATTTTGACCTATTCGTTGTTCAGCTTTCGATTTAGACTTCTGAATTCCTTTTCAGTTGATGCGCGATAAAGAGATGCGTCTTCAAGATGTTTTTCCGTTATATCAACATCTAACTGGCGAGGAACTACTACAAACTCTCCACCCTTATCACTATCTTGCCCTTTATTTTAGGCAATAAGAATACAGTGTGGTTCATTACCTCTCCTCTCATCCCTCACACACTAAAAGGACGCTTATAAGAAACATGTTTCGAACCGCCACCAGCGTGTGCACATGTAGAGAGCAGAGGGAAGAATTCTCGAAACTGGTATGCCAAATAGCCATTTCAAATGGTTACGAAACTGTAGCTTCTCGGCATAGGCATAGAGAAAAAACCACGCCCGAGAGCAATATTTCTAGCGAAAACGAGGCTCCGCTCCTCTTGCCCTTTATTTCAGACGAAATAAGTGTAGCTAATAAACGTTGCTCAATAAGGACCAGTCTAAAAAATTCCGTAAGTGTGACAGAAATACCGTCGGACACTCTAAAACGCCGGCTAGTTCGCAACCGCCTAAATGACCGTCTATGTATAACGAAAAACTGCATAATTTGCTCTAACGGTAGCGAAGGCGATTGCATTAGTTCGGGTATAGTATATCTGATCTCTTGTAAAGTGTGCGGGGACGAATACGTTGCCGAAACGGGTAGACCGCTCTGCGTCCGCATAGAAGAACACCTAGTCGGTAAATCTAAATTGAAGCAAAACACTCCACTAGGCGCGCATAGGATGCAGAAACACAACGTAGATCTTGAAGTAGGAGTCACTATACTCATGCAGGAATCGAAAACATCTGCTCGTGAAACTCTCGAAGCGTTTTGGATCATTCGATGTTTTTCATCAATAGGCAGACACGAGGTTGTTATTATAGAGTTTATTAGGATACAATAGCTGACGTTTCGGCGGTTTCGCCTTCCTCAGAGCCTGGAAAGATGGTATGGCGCCAGGTCACGCGTGGTGACAAGACATTCCTCCTTGCCGTTAATTTTTGATTTTTTGGAATTGATGTAGCCGCTTTCGGATAGGCTGTTTTGAATGTTTGGAAATGGAAGCCAGTTTTCTTTCGGTTGCTCACGAGTGAATTTTATGTCCTCTGACTGTTCGTTCAATAACTCAAAGCATTTATCCATCTTCTCTTGTATGGAGCAGATGACAAAACGATCATCTGTATATCTACAGTAGAGTAATGGCCTGAGACCGATTACTGGTGCTGCCACTTTAGACATAAAGACAACGGCAAGGGTTGGTGCCAGTCGCTGCCCCATTGCCAACCCTCTAATTTGCGCGTAATATTTCCCGGACCATCTGAAGATCCAACATAAATAGTTACAACGAATAGACGGTAGTGTTTAAATAAAGCTCTTTCTTATTCGAATACAAATTTATTTCGTATAATGCTGAGATATTTGCAAAACTCCTGACCGCAGGTGTCTGCGGTTGGGAGCGAACGCGCTATTGTCCTTTCCGGGGAGTAACGCGTTCACCACCGCACCATGCAGATTCTTCGTTTCGCCTGTCCCTCAGCCAGTTCTATCCATCTTTTGTCAGCAATCACCCGTCAACGGGATTGATCTGGGGAGCTCAAATCGGCATTGAACCCACTTAAGCTGAGGCTATAATTTTAATCAGAATCTTAACCTTCTTATTTACTGCCTATTCTTTTAAATCCATGGTATGCTGCGAAATATAACTGGTATAATGCTGAGATGTTTATATATAGAATAGGCAGTAAATAAAAAGGTTAAAATTGTGATTAATACTATAGCCTCAGCTTAACTGGGTTCAATGCCGATTTGGGCTCCCCACACCAATCCCGTTTACGGGTGATTGCTGATAGCAAAAGATCGATAGAACTAGCTGAGAGACAAGCGAAACGAAGGCCTTGCATGGTGTGGTGGTGAACGCGTTACTCCCCGGAAAGGACAATAGCGCGTTCGCTCCCAACCGCAGACACCTGCGGTCAGGAGTTTTGCAAATATCTCAGCATTATACGAGTTATATTTCGCAACATACCCTGCCATTAAAAAGAATAGGCAGTAAATAAAAAGGTTAAGGCAAATTTATTTGCTAAGTTTTATCTGTTAGGGTTGTAAAAGTGTTTGGCTGAGCAGATCGCATCTCAATTTGACCTTTCCAGGCTCTGAAGAAGGTGAAACCGCCGAAACGTCAGCTATTGTATCCTAATAAATTCTATATTAACTTCGTGTCTGTTTAGTGAAAAAAAACATGGAATTATTGGCATGGTTTTTCTATCAGTTTCAAATTCAAATGTGGTTTACAGTCAGTTCCCAAGAGAAATTACAACTGTCTTGTAGGCGATTCGGATCGCTTGCCTACGCCAGAGGACCTCAGAAACCTTGTTTATTTGGAGAAGTGCATCAAAGAGTCGCTTCGACTCACCCCGCCTGTTCCGCTTGTTGCCAGAAAACTCTCGAATAACGTTGTGATTGGTACGTTTCTCTATGAAATCAGTGTTTCCTTATTTTCTCCACAAATCTGACGTTAATTCTTTCTGGAGGGATGGCTTGCATGGTTAGTTGTGGGAGTCAAATCAATGATGATATGGATATTAAAGGGCACACCTAACCTGCTACACGCTTCCGGTCTTAGAAATGCTTTAACAAAATAAGACAGACTAATATATTCTAGGCGTATAGATCTCTTAATAAAATATTATAAAAAATACCAGGAGTCCAAAACTTCTATTTAAATTCTTAGGTGATGTAACGCTTCCTGAGGGCCTTACTGTTGTTGTTTGGCCAATGACAACGGCTCGTGATGAGCGATACTGGGAGCGACCAGAAGAATTCTATCCGGAACACTTTGATGCCGAAAAAGTGGCCAAAAGGAGCGCATATGCATATATCCCGTTCTCAGCAGGGCCACGCAACTGTATTGGTTCGCCTTTTCCTTGTTCAGCATTGCATTCCAGTTTCAAAAGTTGTTTATTTCGAAACAGTCAAAAATGGGAACAGAAGTAAAGCAGGGTTAGCTTCCGCTTTACAAGAAAATCGAAGGGAAGTTTTACAGGCCAAAAATTCGCCGTGCTTGAAGAAAAATCTGTGCTTAGTTGGATTTTCCGGCGTTATCGTGTCGAAACCGAGGAACCATTTCCGGGGAATCCGCCGATTCCTGAGATCGTCTTAAAGCCTATGAACGGTGTTAGGGTTCGACTCACAAATCGATAGTTTTTGGATTCTCGCTCTCGATAATACGAGTTCTTACTTCGGTGGTCTGTTGTACTCTTGATTGTTGTGACAATACTTTTCCATTGTGAGTATTGCTGGTGTATCAAGCTAATACTACTATAAATTACCTCTGGTGTTCAAAAAATTGTTGTTTTAACTTGTTTGAACTGCAGTAACACTTCAACTTATTATTGGAAATTAGAGGAAAATCAGAAAGAGAAGGTGGGATCTGAAAAATCACTCGGCAACTGTTACTGCATATTTTTAATAGTGAAACCTTTTCTGGTCGAACAAGAATTTCTTTCGTGGGAGGATTACGATAGACGTACTATTGTTTTCTCAAGTAGTCGGCTGTTGTGGATCGGACGATGATGATCTGTCACATTGCGGCAAAGTTCCTATTTTGCTTATGGTGAATCCTGACATTGGTTTGCTTTTAGTTGGGTTTCCGAAAGAAAATGTCGAATCTCTTCTCTGCTTGAGAGATCTGGCTAGGAGAATGGGCACATTTTTCAAATTTTATTTGTTAGAAATACTTCAGTTTACTAAACCCGCAACGAGATTACGTGAGGCGTAGTAATTACCCATATCGTTAACAAAAGCCAAAAGTTATGTTTTCAGTGGATGGAAAAAGAGTAAAATGTTGTTGAAATGGACAAGGTTTTACCTCCCGTTTTAGGTGTTCGGTAATAAGATGATCCACGTAGTTGTTTCTCATATTGTGAAGTAGGGAAATTTATGACGGATTCATAAGGGTAGAATTCTGCAAAAAATGTCGAAAATTCGACTTTGCATGCAGCTTCCGGTTTTCGGTCTCCATAAATTTTTCTACAAATATCAATATCGGATTTTTTTTCTAGGCATCAACCAGCACTAGTAATGTGCCGTGTACTACAGTTTTTCATTTTTAATTGCTTTCAGATTACCACTGAGTCGTTAGAGCCATTATCAACTTTTTTTCAAGAATCAACCGATTTTGTTGACACTCTGAATTCTTTGAACCCCAGGCCAGATTGGAACCCGCGACTATCCATTCTAGGAGCTCACGTGTTAGTCACTGCACCACTGAGGTCATTACTTTGCCCTTCTGTCAGCCGATTTTTCACCCTAACGGTGTCATTAACAGTCGCTCAATCACTCGTCAACAGAAATGATGTGTGAAATAGAAATAGGCATTACATCCAATTATGCTGAGACTAAGACTATGCATTGGGTAATACGCGGGCCATCGGATAACGTAATCACGGATTTGGATCTGGCCTGGGGTTTAGGTTTCAGTATCATTGTGGTTGTATTTCGCATAACGCCCTGTGGTGGAACAACGAGCATTAGATAAACAGTTGAACATTCTGAAACATGATCTGAAGTCTTTTCTGCCTAGGATCCATTCAACCTGCACGGGTGTGAATCAATGAAATAAATCATGGCTGCCCTCAGTGTTCATAGAGCGTTAGGACTAAAAGATTCGGCATTGATTAATCCCTCAGAGATGTACCGTGAATTTCACTCCATGGAGCAAGGTAAAGATGAAGGAATGCATGTCTGATCACCAGAATAACTTAAACGGGCTTGACAATACGCCAGATCTGTTTTTATCCACTACAAACAAGTTCTTTAACAATTTTCCGCCTTCGAGAGATTTTCTGTTTTCAAGATCCTGCTGGTCGCTAAACGTTTATTGCAAAACGATACCCAGTTACAGAGAGAAGAGAGAGAGAAGACAGAGCCACGAAATGAAGAGCCATGAGAAGAACAAAAGGGAGTTTTTCTGGGAAGTTTATCAGACCCGTAACGTGTCATTATCACTTCTGAGTAATGTGGGTGAGCGACGGCAATTTGGTGGTTGGCCACTCGGCATGGTCGTGACGATTAGCATCCACAGTGCTCCACACTGGAAGGCAATGAGTCCATTTGCTGTTGCGAGGCTCTTTCTCCTTGTTTGCTCTTTTTTTTCCTTTTTAGGTCATGCTCTTACTTTACTGTTCACTTATTCTATCCTGTGTCGCACATTAAAAGCGTTTAATTGGCGCCTTTAAGTTTTCCACAAAAATTTATTGCAAATTTAACATAGAAAGAATGATCGATACAAAATTACAACTCACAAGGCGAAACTTGAAGCAAGTTGTCAATGAGCGGAAAAGTGAAGCTAAGGGTTAACCAGCGCTGATCGAGGGATAGATTTGAGATCAACCCTCCTTGGCCTTTTAACTCGACAGAGTTCGAAATGTATTCTTACTTTCATAAGCCTATACGAGGTTGATAAATAGTCTTTTATTCGGCTTACGTTTTAACGCCGTCGTCTTCATCAGAGCTGATGATCCAAGTCGACAGTCCGCAGTACAGTCCCTATCAGCCGTTAGCATCCTGTATAAAAGGCCATCACCGACTGAATATGCCTCACTCGAGGAGATGGTCCAGCGAGGAAGACACAACTCGATACGAAACCGAAGACGCCTCATCGAAACGAAGAAGAACCGTGGACTACCGACTCGGATCGTCGGTCCTGATGAGCACAAAGACGTCGAAACGTTAGCCGAAGATTAGTATCTTTATCAACCTTATGTACGTTTGTCAAAGGAAGAATACATGCTGATTAGCAATACTGAGGCTAAAGAGAAGTCGTTTTTAAAATAAAATTCGGAATTTTCTCCTTATTGGTGCCTGACATTAGAAAAATATTCACTTGTTATTGAGCTCTTACTTTTTAGTGTCTTTAAAACCGCAATATTTCTTCCATTTTAAAAATCTTTTACATACCATGTTCATTTTACTCTGATCCGCCTTGAATTTTGTTTCCTGAATGAAACGTCAAAAACGGAGACATTTCGTTTGGTCACAAATCTATCGAAGTTGTTCGTTTCACGGTGATTAAAAATCTCAAACAGAGTCAACCTCAAGAATGATTGGCTGCCAGCAATGAGGACCACACGAATACCCGGTTGACCGAAATGTATAAACAAGAGAGAAAAACGTTCTGCACCCGACATGTGATTGAATGCATATCTGAGCTATGAAGTCGTTTGTTGTGGCCTAACTAAGTAAAAATTTTCTTTATTTATTTCATTTTATTTTATACAACTCGTCTTGGGACGGGATGTAAAACGAACGGATGGTGTACGGTTCCCAGTACTCCTCACATTTGATTCATCTTTTCGCTCCCATCATCCATTACGGTCTTCCAACTTTTTTCGGATAGATTCCGCTGCTGCTTAACGATTTTCATTTAATCTCGAATTTGGTATATTGTTGGTCGAGTCTATTGCCCCTGGAGTTTTGAGATGGCCGGGCTTGGGCGTTCCCAGTTGAATTGAAGATAGTGATTTTTTTCCCATACATGTCCTGTACCAATCTCTCGATCCCGGAGGAATGAGAGGTTCGGCGGACTTGGGACGTGATGGAACCAGCACCATGCTTGTGATGATTGGCATCATTATCGCTGTGCTATCCTCCCACTTAATGTTTCATCGATTCTTTACTTATTTGGTGAATAGAGAAACGAGTTTCAACTCTTTCTTACTTGTCTTAGGTAAAGCGTGATGGTATTGCGCCTCTCACCGAAAACATTGCCAAGCAGGAAGTTTGACTGGAGAGGTACGTCTGTCAAACTGTAACGCAAGTGTCCTAAGGCTAGCACCGAGAGCGCGAAAACCTCTTGTAGAGCAAAACTGCAAAAGCTCATTTGATTTTAACTTTCAGTACGAGAGTAGGCCTTGAAAACGTGGCTTATCGATCCTTCTAGTCAAGATGGTTTCCGGTAAGAGGTGTCAGAAAAGTTGCCACAAGGGTATTTATCCTGTAGTAGCTAAGCGTCCATACCGACGTTGCTCTCTGATCCTTCGATGTTGGTTCGTTTATTGCTGCAAAACAGGCCTGATAAGCGTTGGATTATTCACCCACTAATAGCGTACGTAAGCTGGGTTTAGACCCTTGTGAAACAAGTTAGTTTTATCCTCCTGTTGACTTATCGTTGCGATTTACGTGTTACAATTTTGTAGCCATCGGAGATGGCTATTTACCGGGCCAAGCCGCGCTATTCCTCCTTTAGTTCCACACTCGTGCACACAAAGTTGGCTGTTCTAAACATGTTCGTTAGTTTTCTTGCATTGTAATCAAGCGAATTCTGCTGGTTATTCACTGAAGACTACTTTTTCAAGTGACATTTTCATATTTGTCAATGTTGTGCAATAGCTAAGATTCCTATAAAAATGGTGGACCAATGAAACACAATTGAAGGGCCATGGATGTACTCTTGGAACATTGCTTCAACATTGTTATGCATGGGTAGGCGGTTTTCAAGAGTGGTGCGGGTTTCGGTACAGAGAATTTCCACTTGCATCCAATTTTGGTAGCTAACCAGATCTATCTATCCCTTGTATTAAGCCTGGCCGAGGTGGCGAAGTATGCAGCCTTGCGACTGTGTTTGTCTAATAAAGACGTCTACTCGATATCACAGGTTTGTTCCTAACTTGGTGTCCGAGTAGCAAAATGAAATGAACGTTTCTGCAGCTTGATGGGTGACGAAACGAACTGCAGTACGACCTTACCTATTGAATGGAATGCTGCGATTACCAATGAGTATTAGTCTACACTCTCAATTTGATGCTGTAATTCACATCTCTCATCTCACTGCCAAGTTTCCATATAAGTCAAGCTTTTATTTCTTTTTTCTTTTCGACTTTAATGGCGTTCACCCAGGTATTGAACCGTCAGGAATCTTGTCAGTGAGATATTATCATGAAAGTCAACCACATTGAAAAATGAAACCCTTCTACAGCGAAATCATCACGCTAAACCGTATCGTCTCCGCTACATTAAACGAAGAATTGAAAGGCTTCTATAGGAGTGGTTTTGGCATTACAACTATACTCGAATGTGCCGAAAGAATTCATTGCAGCACTTGCCTTCGAAAGGGAAAGCGAGTTGTAGGATAAGTTTCCTCACGAGCAAGAGAAATCATGCTTCTCTAGTGCAAGCAGAATTGTTTTTTCCTCCACAGGATTTTGGTAAAGGATCTGCCTCTTCCAATTCGCAATCACGAGTTTAGCATTCTTACTAAAGACTTCCAAGAAGTAAAACAATTACCACATGATGAGGCTTCCTGCAAAGTCTTGAGCATGGCAACCAAAAACATCTTAGCTAATCGTCGAATACTGTTTTATTAAAGATATTGTAGCACGAATTGTAAGAAGAACACACAAAGAAGATAACCGGACCAAAAAAATATGAGCTACTTAATGTCTCAAACATTCGACAAGTTGCTTCGTCGTTTTTTTTTCAATGAAAGGGTAATCGTGGGTTCGAAGCTCAACTAAGGTATTGACTTTTGCACATACCTCAGCAACCTTGTGGTTGTATTTCACATAATACCGTGCTGTGAAAAAGGCACGAGCCCTAGTTGGTCATCAAGCATTCTCCTGTGCACCAACCTCATTTTTATATGCTCGACCAAGTGATTTTTAATAACCTGTTAAGTTTTGATTTAGTCCCTTTTCCTAAGTGATTTCTGTCGATTTCGAAAATTTCACCTCCTCTCCTTGTACTCCTCGTCTTCGCTAGTGTTGGTGATGTTGAACGCCTCGCGCTGATATTCATCGTTGGGCAAGTATCTCATAGGATCACCTATGAATAGAGTTTCGCAACTAAAGAAATTTAATGACTGCATAAGAAATATGGCATTGTGGAGCCTCTTTTCGGTTCAAAGTCAATTTGGCAAATGGTGAAATGATGTCAAATTCTGTAGAGTAGAAAGGTGAAAGTGGATCGTCTTTGGTTGTGATCCATTTCACCGGAACACGCGGGTCGAGTGATGAGGTCGGTGACTGAAATTCTGGAGTTTGCACACAAGCGAATGTAGCGACAGGTGAATTTGTTGTCTTTTTCCAACTTGCAAGTTTTTCCTTTCATTTTTTTCTAGTCAAGTGTAACCAGTAGAGAATTATCCGAACCACTGTTTGCCGTAAGCCGAAAGCTGAATTTTCATGTGAAACGAATTTCGAGATGAAGGTTGTCCTATTGCATGCTACCAATGGTGGCTTTTGATGGGCACATACGGTCCGGAGCTTTCCAAATATCTCAGCAACATTGTGGTTGCATTACACATAATACCGCGTCGTGAAAAATTATAGTACGCAGTAAATAAAGAGTAAAACATTGTGATAGAATATTTGTTGTGAGATATTACAGTACTAGATGGATTTCCAGTATTTGAAACTTAAACAACACCAAATGTGTCTGTCCGAAATCGGTTCTAGCATCGAAGGGCTAAAGATCGAATGCACCTTCGGCTAGCCAGAAAAGGTCGGGAAGGCAGAGATTCACGGACGTAATTCTCATACACCAGTCTGGAGATGGCTCGAACATGGCAGCCGAAGAGGCGAAGTGGTGATACCTGTCATGTGGGCGAGTTTCGTGGATACAATTGAATTTCTAATTATAGTATAGTAATCCCGTCAATGGCTGTAAAACTACCTTCGACGAGGATACTTTCACTTACGCAGCGGTATCAAAAATAACGCCATTTACTCGCCTGTTCAGATGAGCATCACGACGATTTATCATATGTTCATTACAGATCGATCACTACTAGGTAAAAAGTGCCTAGAGTTCTAAACGCCTTGTTTTTTCCTCTTTTAGGATTTTTAGGAAAGTCGGCCTTCTGAAGTATTAAATTGATCACGAACTTAACCTTTTTTATTCACTGCCTATTCATTTTAATGGTAGGGTAGGTTGCGAAATACTTTCATAATGCTGAGATATTTGCGAAACTCCGAAGCGCAGGTGGCTGCGGTGGAGAACGAACGCGCTATTGTCCTTTCCGGGGAGTAACGCGTTCACCACCACACCATGCCGGTCCTTCGTTTCGCCTGTCTCTCAGCTAGTTCTGCCGATCACAGCCATCAGCAATAACCCGTCGTCACGTTCGTTCTCCACCGCAGACACCTGCGGTTCGGAGTTTTGCAAATATCTCAGCATTATGAAAGTTATTAAATTGATGTTTGTTAAAATTACTCACAGATCCGATTACTCAGTCATTACATAGGTTGCAGCATTTTTTCTCATTTTGGTTTCACCAATCGCATTAAATATTCTCATTCTTTTACTGTTCAGAAAATGAGCGCCTTACATTTCCATCGCTAAATTTTACCAAACTTTCAGCCGCACTTTAAATATCTGAATAATTCCAAACCCACTAAGTTAACTGCTTTGGATCGTTATCCTTTTAACTGTGATTAACCCTATACATGCTTCATAAATAGTTATAACTTCTCTCACTGCTTAGCGGTAGTCGGTAGTGAGAGGTGTCGAACTCGGAGAAAGAAAAAGGGTTTATGATCAAGACTGCAAATATCGTCGAGGTCAAATAAGCTCTCTTTTCTTGGACACGGTTTAAAAATTTGCAATAAATACAACAATTCATTACCTTGAGCTTACCATTACACCTCAAAGTCAAACGGTGATGCAAAAATTTAGTAGAATAGAAAAATTGCCATACGCAACTCGTAGCTACTTACACACTTTTTTGGAGGTTTCCAAGGAGATAATCCGAGATAAGAAAAACAGTATGATGAATTGAACCAAATCAGAGAAGATGTGACCCACTAAACACTGTGAGAACAACCACAAGGGTGCTGAGATTTGTGCGAAAGTTAGAATCTCAGCTCGTCTTCGAACTCGCGATTACCCTTACCGGGGTCTCACGTGCAAGCCACCACACCAACCGTAGCTCTTGCTTTGCAATTCTTTCAGCCATTTTTTAACTCTATCGGTGCTGTTTTCAATCACGCTCAAGGGGCTCAGCTCACCAGAATCGGGGGTTTGAAGCTGTATTCCACATAATACCCTACTATGAAAAGAAAAGAGTAGGTGGAAAACAAAAGTTATTTGTTAGAATATTTTTTACTTGGAAATGCCAAGTAGAGCAGTCGATGTGGTTGGTATCTTCTTGAACACGAGTATGGCATGACTATCGGGTTGTTTGAGCAAATAACGATCTCATTCGGATGTTCAAAAAAGTGGAGCACTACCAATATCCATTGCTTCCAACCGGTGCTAAAACATCTATTGACGAATGAGTTAGTGCAAGCCATTAGCGTGTTCAAATGATCTGTAAAAAAGATAGCACTGCTCTTAAGCTAACCTCGAATTAACGTCTACACAGTCTTGATCGATCGTTGAACGAAGGCGAGTCTTATGAACAAATTGGATTTCGTGAAGAATTTAGCACGGCGGATTATAGATTATATTATCGCGAATGGAAACCACTAAGAAGGTAGGACGAGTATAAAAATCCGCTCTTCCTCTACTAAAATGAAGAAAGAGACTCAATTCTGTATGCATGACAAAACGCTGGAAAAATTACACTTCAGAAGAGCATGAACGCCGCATAGAAATTTACATAGGTTCGTGATCCACTGGGAGGACAAGACGAAGTTGCTGAAGACCTCCACGTCATTCTCAACAAGAAACCTAATTTCTTCTGCAAACTTTGAGTCATTTGTGATGAAATGGCGAAAATTTTAAAGTCTGTGCTGTGTTTGTAAGGTACAGTAGAATTCAAGTGGAGAAAATCTTTCTCGGATTAGAGTAGAGTTACTGGAAAAGACCTGAATGTCCACAACAAGTCAAAAGTTGAAAAGTAAGCATCTCATTCTCGAAACTCGAGCAGACAGAAAGCAACGACTACAGAAATAATTAGTCGATACACTGTTTTGCTGGTACCCATCTGATTATTTCTCCATTCTACCATGAGAAATGGTAGCGCCAGAATATTTGTTAAATGGCTCGCAGCCCTACACCAAACCGGGGCCGCATCTTCAACCGAAATCGGCCGTTTCGCGGACACTGAACCACGACGCTTAAGTCTTCTGCAATACGATTGCAGCACCTCATGAATTAGAATAGGATGACTTGCTCTATCGAGTTTTTCAACGTGGAGCCTAATATTGCACTTCTCAAAACGATTCAGGTTGTGTGAAAATGGAGGGGTTCATTTTCATCATTTTTTCCTTGCTAGCATTTTGCAGAGTTCATGTTTTTTGTGTTCACAAGAATTCAGTGAAGCTCTTCCTTTTCTTCTCCGATAATAAATCTCTCATCAACCAATGCACTGCTACTTTCATGCGCAATGAAGCAACACTGGCTGCAAAAATCTCAAAAACTAATAGTTGCAAAAATAATTTCACAGATTGTTAGCCTTCGGAAACCATGACTTCCTCCGTGATTAAATAAGAGGGAAAAAAGCCACACATGATGAGAAACCCATTTTTGAACCGCTTGGTTGTACAAAATCTGCTACAAATGCTGCACGTAGCAGGCGATGGGTATAGTACGCTTCTCTTGCAGTCGTTCATGAGGCGCCGCATATCCTAGTCGTTTTCAGACCGCTTTATCTCCATCAACAAAGGCTGGTCGATCCGGGCAGATATAGGGCTGGATGACTGTGCCGCTTCTTATCTTAATATGAGCTATGAATTTTTTCTAGTAGAACCCTTCCGTTTTTATGATTATCGATCTCCTTTCGTTGTAACCAACTCGTTTAGTTATTCTCTGCCACAACAGTTCCGCGCCTACACTTTTTGCTTCGGAAGCTTCTAAAGAATCTAAGCGCTCTCGAATTTTCTAGTGCTCAGTTTTTCTTGTACAAATTACACTTTTATAAGCACGCCTTTAGATATAGAATGCGGCTGTAATTATAGTATAGTGAGAAATTACAAGTCGTAATTATGCCTGACCTCCTTACGGTTTACCGCCTCATCGTGGCTGGGAGGTGTTCCTGACTATCGAAGTGCGATGTACATCGGGAGATTCGTCCCCCCTGCAGGTCTTCCAAGCTGAGAAGGGGTCCGGAGTTTCTATCAGGAAGCATAGCCAACAGTAAACCAATACCGCGATCCACCACCGTCCTGTTATCAAATTAGTCGCATGGTGACAAATCTCCCTCTGATCTACAAAAGCAGCCACTGCCTGCGGTAGTGACGAGTTGGAGCAGACTTTGGCTAGGCTGACCTCAGGGCTCCAAGAAACCGCTATGGCTAAACCAGCAAATTTTCAAAAAATTGGAGATTATGCTGGAACCCCCACAACCAGTGAGTACCACTATCAAAATCATTGGGTTCGACGGTTTTTTTTCATATGTTGCCACATTTTCTATAAAACAGTACTACAATGCAAAGCACAAGTATAAACTACAATTGTAATTTTGGTATGGATAGAAAAAAGCTCTGGGCGTTGATCAATTTCTGAAGGATGCGCCATGCATTCGACTTCATTAAGTATCGTTGGAGGTGATTGAATGCATATCTGGCCTTTACACTGACTGACGGTGGCCTACCGATGTATGGAGCCAGTGCTACTATCCACCCAGACAAGTCCGGTACCAATGAGGCTACGACCAGTAAAACGGTTTGGATGTGGTCAATGAAGCAGGATCTCTGCCAAAATTCCGCTTGCTCAAATAGCTGTGCGTCATCCAAATTCTTTGATAAGAGCAAAAGAATACTCGTGAACAACTTGTAAAATACGCTCAACAAGCATATTTCATGGTAATTGCGAATATTCCTTGAGTTACCTTTTTTGGGATAGAATACTGTGCGCGGCATCATCTATTGGTCTGGAACTTTTTCTTCTTGAAGGTAAGCTGTCACACGTTTTGCGAAAAGTATGGGTGGTTTGAGATCATCAGCTATAAACAAGTTGGCAGTGATATCATAGAGTCCTGGAGATATGCCTCTCTCATGCTTTCAATTGCAGCTCCAACTTCAGAGGGTATAAATCCAAGCGGCTCTTCAGCAGCGGGGAGTCTAGGGTATTGCGGAGAAGACAAATCAGCTGTAGAACTGCATTATGGAAATGTAGAAGTGGTCCCAGTTTCCTTTATCAAAGCCGATAGCATAACATTATAATCAAAAAATCCCGTCGGCACCTCTTCCAACTAAACCGTTTTTTAACTACTTCCAACAAATTTTCTGCCCATACTATTTTCAAACCTTTGGAAAGGATCTCGTTCAGCTGGCATTTATTAGCACTGTCAGGTATGTTGCATTAAGATCAAGCTTCAGTGTTTTTCTCTTTTCGAGCAACTCTTTAATGGTGATAGGGATACAGTCCGAATTTCTTGTATGAAAAACTTAAGCGGGTTCTGCACATGTTGTAAATGCTTCGACAAGCAGCTGGTAGTGCTCCGTCGGATTTTAATTTATCTACGAGTCATATTCGGAAAGGATTTTATTAAGAGCATCCTTGTCGTACATATCTTCTTTCTTTTTTCTTGCGCGATGACATAGTTCGTTTCCAGCTTATGGCCGAATCGTATCCTCGCATGGAGGAGACTGCGATCGAATCCTGTGCAAAACCCAGGTACC